CTTAAACTTATAACCAGCCTGCTTATATCCAGGGCCCAGTTGTTCAAAGCATGGATAACGCTATCCACCGGAAAAATCAATATCCAGTGGATAAGTGTTAACAAAACAAACTACGCAATCCGTTGGATAGTGATTTATCCGATGGATAGCGTTATCCATCTTTTGAACAACCGGGCCCAGATCATTAAGAAGTTTATCCGGTTTAAAGGGTCACAAAGTTAAAAAATACAATAATAGCCAGTGACAAACCCTTTTTATACACATGACATATTGGATATATAAAGCAAAGAAATTCAAGTGAAGTCTTACCATGAACTATATTGGAGACTCCACTCTGCAGTAGGTTTTCTGCGACTATACAATCTACAAGAAAATTAAAATATATATAAAAAAAATATTGAACTAAAAGTGCTAAAGTTGTATAATAATATTATATATATATCTAATCTATGTATAGCAGAGAAGTTTTTCATTTTATGTAAACCGGGAAATGCGACCTTGAACAAATGAAACGAGTTAGTTAGTAAATGTAGACACAAAGGGAAATTTCTACTGGGTAACGTGAAATGAATTAGATATGGAAATTATCTTTCACAGATGTGTCATTATCTAGATATGCATTGTCACCATGGTAATATGATGCTTTTTATGCTGTAAATGTTCTTTGTAAACCACTTCTGGTCTTGCACTGAGGAGTGCAGGTTCGTCCTGTACGAAACAGACCTGTATGCATTAAACCGGAGTCAAAAGTATAACCGTGTCCAATTATTCTTTATATAATAATTATATATATATATACCATCTACATGCATACTCCACATCTTTTGAACAAGGGCTTCACACTGTCTCTCCCAGCTGTAGTGCTCTTCATAACATGTCCGCAATCTTTGAATCTCTCGAAGTCGCTCTGCTCTGTCTTTCAGACGGACAGCTGCGATTGCCTTGGCCCACTCTTTAGGGTCGGCGGATTCCACCACAAATGGCTTGCCTAATGGTAGAGCATGCAATGCATCTCCAAATCCCGAGTTACCACTCACAAGAATGGGAAGACCAGCAGACAATGCTTCCAACGCAGTCAATCCGAATCCCTCTGTCCTGGAAGGCATGATGGCAAGATCAACCTCACAAAACAACTCTTTCAATACTTCCTTGCTTTGCACAAACTTTCTGAGAAACAGCTGATTTTTAGAGATTCCACTCTGCAGTAAGTTTTCTGCGACTTCATCCTTTTTTCCTTCGGGTACGCCTACAAAGATCAAACAGTAAGAACTGTCTCTCAGTTCAACTATTGCTCTCGTAGCAATGTCATATCCTTTGAGACTGAAGTCTTCACGATCACCCCGGCCAAAGATCAACACCTTAAACTTGTCTCTCTCGTTTGTTGCTTGTTTTATGACTGAAAATTCACTGAATATGCCTGGTGTCAGCTGAAATATGTCTTTGTGTTCATTGCATGAGCGTAGGTAAGAAGAGTAGGCCTCCTTCAACTTGGGTCCAACTGCCACAACAAGATTTGCCAATTTACATAGGACTACTTCGGTTCTATTCTGCTCTTCACCTTTGGAAATGGCTCCAGGGTAGTTTTTGTACCTCCCGAGTTCTTCAGGCGCAGTGTGCACTACATGCACCCACTTACAACTGTGCGACTCTCTGATGATTTGAGCCTGTTTACCAAGCTTCGCTCCATGACCCATTACGATGTCAATGGCAAGGTCTCTTGGTGGGAAACTCAAGCAGTCAAGGGAGTCGTAGCCTGGACGTCTCTCTGCTTCTCTAATGGCAACGTTGTGACTTCTAGCGGCCCTCTTCTCTCCTTCACTACAGGTAAATTGTGGCACTAAGAGAGTGACTTCAACATGCATATGTTTCGCCAATAGTGTAGCAAGCTGTCTGTTTATGGTTGACAAGCCCCCCTTAGATGAACTCCACGCAACGCCCAAGAGAGTAACTCTCAATGCTGTGTCAGACGTCCCCGGATTACCTTGTGCTGGTGGACCTTGTGATGTGCCAACTGCATGTAAGGTGGAAGGAGACAACTCCTGCAACATAATCACAACTACAATTAAAGCTGACTATAAAACTAAACACGCAATAAGTAAGCCCGGAGAGGTAGATTGTCACTTGAAAAAAGGAAACCAGCACGTGAACATTTCCCGCCTAACGTCGCATTCCAGTGAGGAATCCGTCCATCTGAAAGCGGAGATTTATTGCCAGCTACTAATTAAAGCAATGTTTTCGAAAATAACACACAAAGAAGAGGGGCAGTTGGCTCCCAAGAAAAGAGCCAAATCTTGGAGATACTCAACAGCATGGAAATTGCTTTAAAATCTGTTCGGCCCGAAGAATAAGAAGGCACTTGCTTTTAGATTCGAATTACAAAAATTACTGCGCTAAAAACACAGAGATCGCAAAAATTAGTTAGAATAGTGCCTCGTGGTAGTCCAAGTTTGACTCACGAGTCCCTCTGCTTGTTTGTCCCGCAAAAATAATCAAGCCTGTCAACGCCGCCGGGGTGGGACTCCCATGTGAAAGGGGCGGGAATGCTCGTCGTCTCGCCATCATACTGTATTTTAGTTTTAATAGCATTAAATAAAATATGTATGTATGCATGCAATGCAATGCAATGCAATGCAATGCAATGCAATGCAATGCAATGCAATGCAATGCAATGCAATGCAATGCATGCATGTATGTATGTGTGTATGTATACTGTTGGTAGTCTACACCGATCACGCATCAGTTTTAGAATGGTATCTTTAAGGGAACAAATAAACTAAGTTTAGCCATGCCCAGATTGGTCTTCTTTAGGGGTTTAACTCAAATTTTCCGACGAGCATCCCCACCCCTTTTACATGGGAGTGCCCCCGGTGGGTCCACGCAGGCTAGCTGATACAAAGAATTTGTTCTGACCAGGGGTCCTTGATACGTCAGCTTAATTAAGAGTCAAACATTTATTCCCAGGTTCACTTATGCACTCTGGTAACAATTTTGTCTCTCAAAATTCAACCTTTCTCACATTCTCGACCCGAGATATCTTTCCTTTTGCAGTCTAAAGAAGTACCTTATTATAGGAAATTAACGCTCCATGAAATTAACGCGAATTTTAAAAATTTGCGTTAATTTAAGTCGCGTTAATTTTTGTGAGCGTTAATTTTACCCGACATTAATTAAGTGGAGCGTTTAATTTCCGCGACCTTAATTTCCATTATTATAACCCCAAATTCTGGATCCTGTTCAGAGATATTTGACACCTAGAAAACAATGGCTTTCTCAGTTCTGCACACTGTATTTCAATCTTTTACAATGTAAAAGCCTTAAAGCGGCCTTAATTACAATATTTCCAGTTCACCCACGCTTTCTGAAGAGCAGTTCTGGACATCTGAGTTGTTGTATTTCGGCCAAAATATCTTTGTTACTTGTATCGCGTTAATTTCCTTCATTTTGAAATTTTACCTCCTCTTTCGCGTTAATTTCCTTTATTCGGAAGTACTATTCCCTCCAATTCGCGTTAATTTAAGTCACGTTAATTTCAAATACCTTAATTAACACAAGCATTAATTTCCTATTAAGGTAATAATAAACAAAACTGATTGATAATTATAAGGACTACGAGTCATTACATACACTGCAGTCTGAACTTCACACTTGTGCTTAGTTTATACACTGTAGGTCCAATTTATACATCGCAATTACATGTAGTCACATTTCGGTCGTGTCGAATGTAATTCAGAACATGATCTCAGTGGTATTACTTGATTCGACTACAATGCAATATACCATGAAAACAACGTGTTCAGCGTTGCTACCGTAAAAGCTCTATTTAGCCCCCCTCTCTATTAAGCCCCCCTCTCTAATAAGCCCCCCCTTTGGAAGTCAGATTTTGTAATAAGCCCCCCCCTCTCTATTAAGCCCCCCCCCCCCCCCTTTCCATCAGGCTGATGTAAATGACTTTTCAGCAATATTTTCTGGCGTTTCAGTCACTTTCTATTGAAACGTGGTCTTTAATTTCCAGAACTATCAGTGAGTTAGGGTATAAATGACATTGCATTTGTAAGACGGTGATACATGTTCCATTTCTTGTTCTGTTTTAGTTAGTGGTGTAATAGTAAAGTTTGAAAAATCAATGTGAATTTTCTCGAAAATTTATGATGGCCTGAAATTAAATAAGCCCCCCGGGGACTTAATAGAGCTTTCACGGTATTTGTGTGGGCATTGCGCTGATTTAAAGCGATTTTAGCGAGTTTTCTGGGATTTGAATCACATTTGACACGACTGTTCTCCTACGCAGCCGTTATTTGGGATGAGTGCGTGACGACCCAAATAACGGCTGCATAGGAGACTAACGCGACTGAGATGCCACTGAAATGCGATGTATAAATTGGGTGTTAGCCATGAAAACGACTGTTTATTGCGGCCTAATTGTTTGTGTTATGTTTATCTGTTTCTATGTTTCCATTATTATGTTCATCTGTAATATACAATTACGGTTCTGACTCTAATAAAAACTTGCTGCATATCTGCAAGTGAACTGTCACTTCTATACGCTCACATAAACTGACTGCATGCATTAAGAGGTTCATGACTTCAATTTTTTTCTTTTCAACAATTTCATTCATCTAGTTTGCTTTGACGAAACTATATTAAGTAGCAGGATACTATACCTCTTCTCGGTGAAAGCAAATGTGCTCCGCTAAATCTTTACGATTTACAAATTCATGGGACAAGGCCTTGTTTAAAACCCGGTAAGTGGCAGTTGAACCGTTCTCCTGTTTCCAGCACAATAACATTTCATATGCCTTGTCTTCTAATTCCAGCCAGTCTGAATCAATTGCATCAAGTTTTGCCTCCCTAATTTCCAGGCAACGCCCAAGTTTCTTCCAACACTTTTGAATGTAGTTGGACAACACCTCTAGGTCATCATCAGACGGAGTGCCTTCTTTCACAACTGTTCCTAAGGAAGGAATTAAAACATGTTTAAGAGATCTAGATATCACGAGGGAGACGCGGTGGCCTAATGGTTAGCGCGTTGGACTCCGGATCAAGCGGTCCGGGTTTGAGGGTTCGAGTGCTGGCCGGGGTCATTATGTTGCCTTCTTGGACAAGATACTTTACTCTCACAGTGCCTCTCTCCACCCTGTGATTTTAACCTTCATTCTATGGAAACTGTTCAGTGTTAAGTTCCTGATAAGCCCGCTTTGTACGAAGGTGCACTATAAAAGGGGGCTTCCCAGGGAAGACCACGGCTCATTTTTCAATCAACAGCGAACAAGACAATAGCCAACCACTGTGTTGTTAGCTCTTTCATTAATTTTAGTTTCATTGGCTATGTTGACGCCAGACCTCAAGGTACTTTCTGCTGAATAAATAATACCTTGTTTTTTGTTGCTAATTATTCTAAACCCCACAGAATAATCGTTTCTCTGTTTGTAGACAACGACACAGATCTACAAATCTTCCCTTTGCAAATGGCGTTAGCGAAGTTGGAAAGTATAGAAAGCAGTGGCCTTTAAATCCTTACAATCGTGCGTGTATGATTTTGTCGCATGGTAGGAGAAATGCCATATAAATGCCATATAAGGTACGCTTAAGTCTATTGCCACGTGAATTTGGATTTTGAAGGACGCATAGCAGTGAAATCGACGGTAATCAAGTAGAATTCCAGAGAAATCAACAAGATTCTGTTAGAATGTCGGACATTACCTTGAAATCTCGGAAAATGTACATACTAAATAATTTATTGGGAGAGAAGTTCCGTCGTCATGCGAAAATGGTGCTTTTTAAAAAAACTCATCGATCAGGCAAATGAAAGTAGCTCAGAATAATCATTGCTACAGGGTTAATAAACTTCAGAAACTTCTCCGTATGAAGCAACTACCGGTATAAAACATAACCATGTCATCGTTGCCCTTCAGAATTGGTCACTTTCGGCATTACTCGAAATCGTCAAGTAACCCTAATAACAAACAAGAGTGACCGCAAGTCTACCATTTGCAATCTCGGTGAGGCAATTTTCCCTTTCGTAAACGGTCAATGCCATTTTACAGACACTTAGATTAATTTCTATGAAAGTAAAAAGAGAAAAAATACAAGTATAATAATATTATAAAGAGGGTGTAGCTGGGGTCGAACCCGGGTCGATCGCATATAAAGAGGTTATTCAGCGGAAAGTTGTGTAATACGGCTGGGTATTTTTACGAGTCAGTTTAAAGGCTCGAAAAAATAAACAGTTTATGGTTGACATGCCCCCCATAGATGAACTCCCCCCAACGCCCAAGAGAGTAACTCTCAATGCTCTGTCAGACGTCCCCGGATTACCTTGAGCTGGTGGACCTTGTAATGTGCCAACTGCATGTAAGGTGGAAGGAGATAACTCGGATCTTGTGTCTTATAGGGGGTGTCGACCGACGTAGCCATCGACACCTCGGTCGACTATCGGTCGACATATCGGTCGATATATCGGCCATGTGTCGGTCGAGTGGTGGCCGAGTGTTGGTCGAGTATCGGCCGATATACGGCCGACGGATTGAACGATCATCGGTCGACAGTCGGTCGCTATAGCATCGGTAGTGTGTCGGCAATATATCGGTGAACCGTCGGTCAAGTATCGGTAAAGTATCGGTGGTGTATCGGTCGACAATTGGCACCGCCTGTACAACTTTTTTACAAGGTACCTGTCAACCGATACTCGGTGGACACTATCGGTCGATACATCGGCCGATACTCGGTGGATCGATCGTTAAATCACCGACACTAGGCCGATTTTCTTCCGAGTCTTGGCCGATACTATACCGTCACATTGTCACCGTCACTAGTTACTGATTTTCTCTATTCAAATTGCTCTTTTTTCCGTTGTCCCCTCACTTTTAAATCGACTTTTGGTGTCTTTCATACTCTCCCGTTCATGTTTTTTTGGCCAAACGGAGTCGCAAGTCATCGCAAGTCTGGGAATGACAACTTGCGTTTCAACTTGCGTAGCAAGCACTCGTAAGTTTTCACTGCTACCGGTTCCGGTCGTACAGCTCAATTCATTTGAACTGATATTTTGTTTCTTTTTCCACTTCACTTTGCCTTTTCCTCTTTTCGCCTTTTCTTCCGACTTTTTGGTGTTTTCTTTGCAATTTTTTTCTGTTTTAGTCCGTTCTTCTTCTCCTTTATTTTCGCAGCATCCTTGGAGTTGCTCGAATTAATGATAGTTTCTTCTGAATCGCTGGAGTTTGATGGTAACGTTCTCTTTCGTTATTTTCGCGTTAGCCGTGTCAGGGATCACTATTGTGGATTCTCGTCATCGTAAACAAGGGAAGCCACTTGAAAATCTCGTGGACATAAATAATACATTTCTATAATTTCAATTTTTTTCAATTTTGTTTTATTCACACTTTTTTCAAGATTACAGTAACAATTTTACATAAGGATCACGATAACGATCACGATGGATGACTTGCGATCAATGCAACTTGCGTCGACTTGTGTTTGGTTGGCAAAAGTTGGAAAAATATCCGCCTACTTGCGTGGAAATTTGAGCTCTACCAAATTGAACGCAAGTCATCACAAACTATCGCAAGTGCACGCAAGTTGTGGCTAAACGGCATCGCAAGTTATCGCAAGTTTCAGTCATCCAAAAACCGGCTAGCTACCTTCAATGAATACAATTTTCAATTTACCCAGCCATCGTAGACGATTAATTATACGATCAAGCACACTTTAGAAACAATATCAAAGCATGTACCTTTTATTATATAGTAGTATTTTATCTTATTTAATTGTTATTATACATACATCATACATGCATACATACCGATACGTGCGTACGTACGCACGTGTACATAGGGCGTTACTAAACACAGGAACGGAACGGAATGTACCGGAATGACACGCAATGATACCGGAATGATACCGGAATGAACCAGAATGATACCGGAATGAACCAGAATGATACCGGAATGAAACGGAATGACACAGAGATTTCATTCATGGCGGCAAGACAGGGTGATTCTCTCTTGATGGCGGACACTAGATGGGGGCTGGGCAATTGCAAAAGGAAATCCAAACTTCTTCACTTTTCCACCCCACCCTCATCTCCCCTCAAAAATATGAAAATATAATAGTCTATATCGTGGGAGACTCCAAATTGTGCGAAATAATCGTACGAGAAAAAGCATGTTTCAGATTTCCATGGACTTCTGGGTATTTTCCAAGATGGCGGAGTATTCGTTTTCAGGCCCTCTCCATTTTTACAAGATGACTACTATGTCAAATTCCCTTCCCGGGGGCACGTAAATTCTCAAAATCCCTACCCAGGTAACAGCCTTCGATGTCAACTCCCCTAGAGTGCCCCCTCCCTTACCCTGGGGCTTAACATCGATAGATGCATTATATGACATGTAGTTCGTTCTCAGGCCTTCCCTTTTCGCTTGCTCATGAACGTCATGAATGGACGTCATCTGTCGTAGCAAGAACACTCGTTCTCAGGATTTTCCTCGTGCTTCGCGCTCGGTAAAGAGACGAGACTGATAAGACACAGCCAAGTTTCGAGATAGATAGTTCTGGTTACCGTGCAACTATCCTAATAAATTACTACCGAATGGGGCTCAATAAACAATAAGAAGAACCTAATGACTATATATGGGTAAAGTTGCAATTAGCCTGTGTTTATCTACGTATCTGCCAAGGATTAAACTACGAGCAGTCCCTCAATATTCTCAAGGATAGTCGAGTGGGAGAGCATGCGAAAATCACCTCCTACGCATGCTCTCCCACTTGACTATCCCTTAGAAAAATGAGGGACTTCTCATAGTCTACGTACAACAAAACTGGCAAAAAAAAGTCAAACCTTCATCAGCAGTGGGTTCTTTTGATGCTGTCAGAACATCTAGCCTTTTCATAATTTCATCCAGCTGCTCTTTCATGTTATCCTTGTCCTTTTTCGACTGACTGAGGAGTTCCCTGTAGTGATCTTCAACCTCCGGGTCCATGCACACTTTTCTAAGGTCGTCAATAGCAGCTTCGTATGTCACGCCTCCCAATCTGACCAGGGTATCCCGGATGTCACGCCAGTAGTCATTGAACTTTGTCTCGTCAACAGAAGCGGTCTCAGCGTGACCGTACACGGTGTTTCTAAAATACTTCACACGAGCAAGATCCGCTTCACGGCTCAGGTCTGTTAGGGCAGGGAATGCGTCCCAGCCAGTCGGCGGAGGAGTTAAACCGCACATGTTTCGTAACAGAAGTATCAAGAGAGTCGCTTCAAAGTCGCGTGAAGACACCGAAGTAGGGATGGCAGGGAACAGTTTTTCCCCATTGTATTGGATTGATGATCCTCCTTGCTCTCAGAGTTTCCAGCCTGCCTCTGTTTCCCGCCAAAACTGCGTGTAGATTTGCTGGCGGATGGATGGCATCCAATGTGTCCCGGAGGGCATGGGTGCCAATGTCCACCAGCAGACGGCACAGCCTAGCATAGTTTGTTGTCTCCTTGGTGGATGAAGCAGTCGGTACAGCACTAGCCATGAATAGTTCCTGCATGGGTATTAATATTATTATTTGAAGTGTATAATTAAACATTCCAGCACACCCCTCTAAATTTGACTCGCAATTTTGTTGGCCCTGAAATGAACATGTCTTGCAACGTTTTTTTGTTGCAACTGCAGCACGCACGCACGCGCCCTACATTCAGCGTATGTCGGGTGGAGGGTGATATACCAACTGGTCTACCCAATATACCCAAAACTCGAAAAGCCACCACAGAAGAGAACACGGATCGTGGATAAATGAAAGGGATTATAACTTTCAACTTTATACCGCTATTGTGTTATATCCAAAATAAATCAAATACCCATACTTTAGTGTAAATATAAGGAATACCATAATATACCTCCAAACCCCTAGCCGACCCTGTACAGTGTCGCAACGATTATGGCAAGTAAGAGACTGACAACGTTGCAATGAATAGGCCGGTTTCTTCTTTTCAAAACGAGTCCTGGTGCACGAGAACCTTTCATATGAAAATTAGTTTTACTCACACTCATTCCAGTTTTCAATTGAGTGTCGAAAATGATCGCTGCATTGCTTTGGTTTTGCTTCACTA